TTGGTGCACGGGATCTGGTCTACAGGTCCGACATCTGGGTCCCAGAGTTCAAACTGTATCCCCACCAGGGAGAGGAGTTCCGGTCCCAATTCACCCACAGGGAGCCAAGCTGGTCTATGTCTCTCAGCCTCAGGGTCTGCACCGTTCTCCTTGGATCACCGTGCCAGCAGCCTGGGAGGGCTGGCGGGTAGGCTAGGGGAGCTCACAGTCTGGGTTCCCCTTAGTCAGCTGTAGGGTCCCAAAAGAAGGTCCCGTTCCCTGGAGGCGCCTCTGGCTGGTGGCTGTATTGTCTCTCTGGGAGCTGCGGGTTGGGTTGGCGGAGGGAGGAGGAGGCAATATGGCGCCTGCCGCGCGGGCTCGAATCTGATGCACACGGAGGGTGCCCCGAGGGATTTGGGAGTCTGGGCTGCCGTGTCCGTACAGGGCTCACAGCTAGCTGGGCGGTGGCATCTCTGGGGCTGGTGTCCGCAGGGTCTCCACCCGCTGGGGAGCCACCAGCAGTCCCAAATGCAGGGGAAGGAAAAGGTGATTTATCCACCTACCCTTTCCGGCTGGTCCGGGCTGCTCTGGCTGTCTCAGCTCTCCAGTTCTCCTCCGTAGCCTCCTCCGGTGGATCTCCCAGGGTCTCAGGTAACCCTCCTTCCGGCCCTCGTCTGCTGTATGGTCGCCTTCTTGGTTTTTTTCTAATTTCTGCTAGAATCTGTGTTTTTCTGCAGAGACACTCTGTCTGGGGTGTTTCTGTCCCCATCTTGATCCTCCATTCCCATTGTTACACTTTTATCCTTCCTTACTTTTTTCTTACCTTTCTGTTTTCAGTTTTTACTTCTCAACAATTAGTAGCTCAATAATATTTTGTCTAAATATGGGTTATAAATAATAAACAAGGAAGATCAATATTAGAAAGAAAAAAGTAAGTGAAAATACAAATTTGGAAAATTTATTAAAGAAATAAAATAAAGAATACTTGTGGAAGCCATGCAATCTCCTCTTTTTCTGTGCACTGACTCAAACTACAGAGACTGTATTTTACTGACACACTGCTGTTCTCTGAAATATTCACTGTAGTTGTCAGGAAGTCACTCTTTACATCAGCTGCTCTAGGCAGGTAACTGAACAAGACAGAGTACTAACGTAGGTCAATGCCTGGGGAGATGCAGGACTCCTCTGACACAGCTTTGGTTCAAAGATCCCACCCCACCAACCATTTGCCTTGCCTAACTTCCTTAGAGTTGCACTGAGTCTGAGATTCTTCACCCAACCTTTTTTCTTCTCTTATCCTTCCACAAGGGTCAACTTGCATCATGATCTTACAGCTCTGCAGCTTCTCTGGCAATCTTCACATTTTCCTTTATAGTCATTTTCCTAATAACTCTCTTGCATGTCTAATCCCATCTTGCATTTGCTTCTTGGGGGCTTCTAGGGGGCTGGTGCTCCTCTTTGGGGTGTGGTTGCTTCTTGGGGACCTGAAACAGCACAAATGATACCAAGAGTTGTCTGAGAAAAAAACAAGCAGTAAGATGGGGATTTTGGACTGACGTCACTCACTCGTGTGTGTGGAGAGAGAAGACACCATCCTGGTGTGGTAAATGGAACATGGATAGTCTCTGGCACAAGATGGTGGTTCAATTGCTAAACATTTCCCCAGTGCTGACCCAGGGTAATGTCTAATGAAGGGAATGTTGCTGTAGGTGGTGATGGTTCAAGCATTTGTAGAGTATGATAATAATGCCTAAAAAATGAGAAGATTCTCTCTTT